ATCAAACCTTTTTGAAATCCTGGTCGCCCCTCGTGAGGGTATCGCATAGTAATGTGCAGCTCGATACTGAAATATCGATTCCTACGATACCAGTCATTTATTTTCTAGAATCGATTCTCATAATAAAATATTGATATTTTAGTAATTTAGGGTAAGTTTGTAGTTTATCATTAACAGGAACACAGTGGAAAGAAACTATATCATTAGGATTGTCTACATAGGAAGGAACTACTTCCTCTTCCGCCTTTCATAGTCATGTGCGAAATACGGCTGCCTAAATGTGTCGCAGCAGGCAAGGTGTTCAAATAGCGCACAGCTTCAGTTTCTTTATTTCTATATGATGAATTCTGCATTTTTAAGTGATAAGAACAAGTAATCTGATGTCCTGTAATCATTATGAAGCTATAATTTGAGATTTTTTGTACAAAATATTGGTATCGGATCAGTATCGCCAATACCACCCTGAATTTTACTTGGTATTGGATCGGAAAGGAAATCAGTGGTATCGCACATCACTAGTATCGCACTGTTGAAGCAGTGCCACAAGCCAATTTAACGCAACCTCTCACACTGCGCATGCGCAAACACAGAAATGGAAGTGAAAAAGACAGAGAGCCATGGCAGTGCAGTGTGATCTGGACACAAGTGATGGAGGCACAACTTTGGCAAGCTCATCCAAGCCTTTTAGATGTGGCCTCACAAAATTATCACAACCAACAACTGTGAAAATAGATGGAGATTGCTGCTCAAGTGCAGCTGCCTGGTCAATGTTTTTCACTAGCAATTTAGCAAAGTTGATAGTGGTGATTCAATCGTACAGTTTGAGCAGGAGCTGAATAATGCGGGAAAAAAATATGAAAAAAAATATATGCACAGTGTGTGCCCAGCTTTAGATGGAGGCAGTGCTAGCTATTCTATCACACTGAGTGAAAGCAGGCTGCCATTAATTCACAAACTAAAGTCATCGACTTCATTGTCCGAATGATTGGTCCAGGGTACACAAGCTGTGCAATCACACTTGCTTATATTTTTTCAACCTATATCTATGTACATTTACTTTAATGAAAATTAAAATTGAGAAATTTTATCCTTGCTAACTTTTGAGTATTGTGATGGACCTAGCAGTGAAGGAGCGTCAGGCAATGGTTAAAGTGCAAAAAAAGTTTTTTTATTTGGACCTAAAACAAACTTGGTTAAATTATACAGAAAATTCAAAATCTTGGGCCCATATAAAATAGCTCAAAGTATCAGAACTCTTCTCTAAAGCTGGTATTAAACAATACTACTAACTCAAACAAACTAACCTACCAAGAGGAGACAAAGGGGAAACCTAAACAGTGGCTGATCAGCCAACAAAAATGCAGAAAGGCGTAGAACACACAAAACCCAACTAAAACTAACATAGCAAATTCAATTTCCCACCATAATCCAGAATTGTGGTATGACCCAATTTGCACGTCTCCACGTAGGCTTGCTCTGCACCTTTTCCACCTTTTAGCTCATCAACCAAGGGACTGGGAGCAGCTGCCACTGAGGTAACTCAGAAAACAAAGATAGATACATAACAGTGCAAACTAAAATGTGTGCACTTATTTTAGAATACAGTATTATGTGATTGTATAAGTGAGTTAATTCTAAACTAAAACAAATTCTTTATTAATCTGTAAATTAAATCCTATATTTAATGTTAATTTTAAAAATGTTTCTAAAATTAACATTAAAATGTTTTAACTTTAGAACATCTGTGAGGTACACCTGAGGGGGACATCTTTGGTTGCCAGTCTTGAGGAACACCAGCACACATCCATGCATGAGAGATGCATGGTCCTGATACTTATTTTACACTGAATGGAGTTCTATGGAGAAAAGTGAGTGTTTCTTGTGCATAAACTAAATCAGTTATAAGGCTTTGGTGGTGGTGGTGGTGGTGTGTGGCATTTTCAATGTGGCTACATTTGGGCTGCTTGGTCAGAACATCAGGGACACTGCACTGTACTGGCCCAAGTAAAATTACTCCATTGGCAGCTCCTAAAGTGTGCGCTGTGGTGATGAAAACAAAGAGGATCTGTTAAAAATGTTTGGTTTCTTTCCTCTTCTTTTTCCCCCAAAGCTTCTACTCTTCGTAGTTTATTTTACAAGAAATCTACAGGAAAGTAAAGTTTTTGTTTATCCAATTTTATTAAATGCAAATGTTTTTGCTTGCAGCCCAACTTCAGGAATAAAGGCAATTTTGGCATCAATCATAGATCAGTTGGTATGTTTAAAGGACTGTCGTATCTACACTTTAATACACACGACAACAGTTAAAAAAAACCTGAATATTGGTCAATTTTTTTCAATCAGTATAATGAGTGTCACTGTGATTATAAAAATATCCAAATTGTATTTACTCAATTTCCATGTCTTTAAAAAATGTGTGAACATTATGTCACTAATCCAAGTGACTTCTTCAGTCATATGCACATTTAAGGTGCATTTGTACATTTGTTTAAATCTATTGCGAAGTTGGCAAAAAGGTTTATACAATATTGTGACAATATAAAGTGTGTGAAACATACTTGATCTTGACTTAGTCCATCTCCTAACAATTAATTGCCAGCATTCACAACCACAAACTGGTCTGCTTCATTGTTGTTTGGTTCTCATTGAGCAAATGTCAAGCGTCGTGTTGGAGCTCACCACTCCAGGATTACAGACAAGTTAACATTAATCAAACAACTGCAAATAATCTTTTAAATCTTACTTTATTGATCCTTTTCTTTTGTTTAAACATTTCAGGATGCGTGGTTCAGCCCTTGCACAGCTCATAGGCCAGCAACTGGATTTCCGGCGGAGCATCTACACAATGTCAGGGAGAGGCTTCGTTCCTCGTCGTGACATTGTGTAGATTTCAGCACCAAAGAAACCCCAAGAAAATGTTCATTTTGCCTGGTACTAGAAGATAGATTTGTTTCTGCTTTTTGTGGCAATCTACAGTCTGTTGATGGCTGCTTTAAATCATTTTTTGTTTTTGATGCAAGTTAACCAAAGTCATGCACCCAGGTTTGGAAATTCCTTCACACTGTCATCTATCCATGGAATAGAAGAATCACATGAAAGGAATCAAATGTGATCAAATTAAAGAGGACTCATTTAGCTATGATGGAAGTGTAAAATGTTGCATATAAAGGTGCATGAAATGATCTGAGAGGGAGATTCCCTCAGTAATTTGTTCTAAAACAGAACCAGCTTTACTTAGCATGTCTTCATGTGTATGAACCATTACATATGCTGTAACCAAAGACTGATTTGAAGTAATGGATATAATATAATGAATTATATACTTTTTTTTTAAACTTGCATTTTACTTTCATTTATATATATTTTGTATGAATTTTGCCATCTATATTCTATGTATCATATGGCAATAAAAGTAGTTTTGAATCTAGTTTTTATATGATGAATTTTATAGTAAGAAGTCTTACCTCAAATGATAATAGTAATATAACCCTTGTGATGGGTTCTGAGTTTCTATCCAATCTTTTTTTTTTTTTTTTTTTTTTTAAACCTCCGCTTTAAACACTGGTCAGTATAACCCAGTTTTTGGATAGGTAAATGGTAAATGGCCTGTATTTTTATAGCGCTTTACTAGTCCCTAAAGGACCCCAAAACCCTATACACATTCAGTCACACTGGTGATGGCAAGCTACATTGTTGTAGTTATCCAAACCCAGTGTGCTGGGTCAAAACAATAACCGAATCGTGTTAAGTTGAAACAACCCAGGGTTGGCTCGGTCCATATTTGACCCAGCACTGTGTCATAAATGGGCAATTTTTAACCCAGCTTTTTTTAGTGTGCACATGTGAACATGATCCATAAACACTGCCATGGACTGTTCAACAGCTAGTATCTTATATCAAAGAAAAAGTAGACAAAATTCCTCCCTCAAAACAGCAGCTGGGCTCCTCAGTTCACAGACTGTTGTTAAAAGACGACGCAAAATTAAACTGTGTGGTGGCGCGAAGGTGGATAACCAGTAATGCTAAATGGCCTGTATTTGTATAGCACTTTACTAGTCCCTAAGGACCCCAAAGCACTTTACACATCCAGTCATCCACCCATTCACACACTGGTGATGGCAGCTACATTG